TCTGACCCCCCTTCCCCCATCAGCAAGCAAATTCCTCCTGCGGCCCTGTGGGGCGCTTTCATTGACCTGCCTCTTCTTTAAGATGGTTTCTGCCTCCCTCAGACACTTCCCCATCCTGGCCCCTTTCTTGCCTCCTCCACTCATGCCAAGGCCTCTGTGACCTTGTGACTGCTCATCTTCCTCTCTGAGTCCCAGGACTGGTGACCAAGCACTCGTCCTTGGTCCTCTCTGGCCGTGACCCCTGGCCCTCCATTCTTCCCTAATTTTCCTCCATCTTCCTGGAGTTTCTCTGGCTGTTGTTCCCCAGGCTTCTACCCTGGGTCTTTTCCGTCTTGCTTTCACTAGCTCCTGTGCCCCACGGCTTCAGCTACCAGTCCCCAATCTCTACTCCAGTCCAGACCTCTCGCCGGGTTCTACTCCTGGGTATTCATGGGTCTCAGAAAGAACATGACGACACTGAACTTCTCCCCTTCTTCTGTGTTCCCCTTGGTGCCCGTCACCTTCATCTCCTCAAGTACCCAGACAGGAATCAAGCATCATTTGGGTTTGTTCCCTCTCTTCCCCCCCAAACCCAGTCCCCATTGCGTGACCGAATGCAGGAGTCTTGTGCTTGGTCTACCTCACGCTAAGGCAGGACATGGAGATGACCAACGTGGATGGTGCCAACCTTCCTGGGTAGAATCCCAGCTCAACCACCCACTAGCTGTGTGACCTTGGGGGAGTTACTTAACTTCCCTATGTCTCAGTGAAATGGGACTATAATAGATAGTCATAATAACCTCTATTATAGGATTGTGGTGAGGTTTAAATGAGTTAATAGATGTCAAAATACTTAGTACAGTAAAATGGTGAGTGCAATAGAATTTTGTTATTATCATCATCACTATTATTTCATTTAGTTATGTTATAAATATTTATTTTTATTTATTTATTTATTTTAGATTTTATTTATTTATTTGACAGACAGAGATCACAAGTAGGCAGAGAGGCAGAGCAGGCAGAGAGAGAGGAGGAAGCAGACTCCTCTCTGAGCAGAGAGCCCAATATGGGACTCGATCCCAGGACCCTGGGATCATGACCGGAGCCAAAGGCAGAGGCTTTAACCCACTGAGCCACCCCGGCGCCCCTATTTTATTAATATTTTAGAATGCCCACTATGTGCTGGGCACTTTCTTTATCATCTAAAGCTGGGGACATGAAAGGGCATGGTTGTGAACAACAAAAATGACTCCTAACCCCAGGAACTTCAAGATGGAAGACTTTTTGTAGTAGAAGTCCTTGCTACTGGATCCAGACCCCACTCTTTCCCATCTTTAAACAAAACAAAAACAAAAGCAAACAAACGCTGGATTTCACGTCTCCCTCCAGCCATTGTCCTAGCTTACTCTTCTGCCAGCCAGTTTTTATTCGCTGCACACCCACTACGTGCCAGTCACTGTGCTGGGCGCTGGAGAGTCAGCAGGAAACAAAAGGGACAGATCTCTACCCTCGATGAGTTTATCTTCTGGTTGAGGATATGGACAATAAACAAATATATCCACATATATAATATAACGTCAGCGATATTTGTAGATGCAGTAAAAGAAGACGAAGTGAGGGAGGGAACACAGAGTGACCAGGAGATTGATGGCTATTTTAGATGGGAGGTGGGGAGGGTCCTCTCTGAGGATGGCAGATCTGAAGAACGCCCTGCATGGAGTGAGGTGATCTAGGATCTGGAGGACGAGGGGTCCAGGTAGAGGGAACAGTAAATGTAAAGCCGTGTGATAGCAACAAACATGAATATTGGTGGAACGGCAAGAAGGCTCTTGCGCTGAGTGAGCAAGGCTGGGACGGGCGCCAGCACTTAGGATGACCCTACACATCTGGAAGCCTTGGGCTGTCCCTCCATAGTTATTACTATTGCCTCCTTTCCCCTCTCAAGCGCGCCCCAGCTTTAGATGATAAGTTACATAGTTACCCTAGATAGAGACCACAGTCGGCACTTGGGATTCTGTTCCGAATGTGATGGCAAACCTATGGATAGTTTCGAGCAGTACGGGACATGATCTGACTGACACTTTAAAGGAGCTTGACTGAGGACTTGAAACACCCTTCTGGCTGCTGTAACACCCCACTTGGCTCTCCTCCACCTCCCTGGCTGCTCCCTCTCAGTCTCTTCTGGCAGCTCTCTCCTACTTAACGCCTAGTGTTGGGGTTTCCCTAGGCCAGTGGTTCTCAGCCAGGGGTGCTTTTTCCTCTAGGGGACATTTCCTACAACCCAGGGACATTTTTAAGTGGGGCAGGTGCTACTGGCACTTAGCGAGTAAAAGGCAGGGATGCTGCTAACCATCCTACAATGCACAGAACAGCTCCACACAATAAAGAATTTTCCAGCCCCAGGGACACCTGGGTGGCTCAGTTGGTTAAGCATCTGCTTTCAGCTCAGGTCATGATCTCAGGGTCCTGGGACTGAGTCCCCCCAAGGGCACCCTGCTCAGTGGGGAGTTTGTTTCTCCCTCTGCCCCTCCTCCCACTCAACACACACTCTCTCTCAAAAATAAATTAGTAAGATCTTAAAAAAAAAAAAAAAGCCCAACAGCAAAAAATAATTTTCCAGCCCCAAATGTGCTGAGGTTAAGTAACCCTGCACTAGATTAGCACAATCCAAAAGAAATGTAATGAGAGTTGCATAAATTTTTCTAGTAGCCAAATTTAAAAAAAACAAAAACAAAAACAAAAACAGCGAGGGGTGCCTGGGAGGCTCAGTCAGTTAAGCATCTGCCTTTGGTTTAGGTCATGACCACACCACTGAGTCCCCTATCAGGTTCCCTGCTCAGTGGGGAGTCTGCCTCTCCCTCTGCCCCTCCCTGCCCCCTGCTTGTGCTCACGCTCTCTCTCTCACAAAAATAAATAAAATCTTAAAAAAAACTAAAAATAAAAGTGAAGTTAAGTTTAATAATTTATTTAGTCCAATATGTGCAAAATATTATCATCTTAACATATTAATCAATAGTAAAGATACAAATGAGATTCTTTCCTTCTTTCCTTTCTTTTCTCTCTCTCTCTCTTTCAGTTCTGGTATGTACTTCACACTTACTACACACAGCAATTTAGACCAGCCACGTTTCAACTGCCTAGTAGCTACATGTATCTCATGGCTATAGTATTGATGGTGTAGTTCTAGGCTCAGTACTAGATAAGAGAGCCTAATGTTTAAGAACTATACAAGGTAATAAAGCCTAATGATTTGGTCCTGGAACCCAGTTGTCTTGTTGAATTCCAGCCCTTCCATTTAATTCCCTGTCCATTTTTTAAAGTTTTTTTTTTTTTAATTTATTTGAGAGAGAGAGAGAGAGAGAGAGAGGAGGAAACAGGCTTCCCGTGGAGCAGAGAGCTCGATGTGGGGCTCCATCCCAGGACCCTGGGATCATGACCCAAGCTGAAGGCAAAGACTTTAACCCACTGAGCCATCCAGGCACCCCCTGTCCATTTCAGGTATAGAGTTACTCTACCTCTCAGGGTCTTCGTTTCCTATTTTAAAGTGGGGATGACACAATATTACTATTTTATAGAGCTGTCCAGAATTAAATGAGTTAATACTTACAAAACAGTTTCAGGTGTAATAAAACTATTTAGCCACTTCTATGTTGGTTGCGATTTCCACTCCACTGGTGTGTGCCCACAGAAGGTGTGTGAGCGCTGAGGGCATCTGGGGTAAGAGTCCATAGGTGTGGCTGGGGTGACCACTAGGGCCTTCTGAGAAAGCATTGCATGCAGGCTCTGACTGTTCCTACTACCCTTGTCTCAGAGTGTGTGTGAACATGTACTTGTCCATGTGTCTGTGGACATGTGTGGAAGGGAGCACAGGGACGTTATTGCCCACTACTATAATCAAGGGTCCCCAAGCAGGTCTGGAAAGTGCAGGTATGCTCAGATTACCAATCCTATTCGCCTAAGCAGAGGGGTGGCTTCCTCTGTGTTCTGGTGGGCCGGTGAAGGAGAGAGACTTCTCTGGGGTCTGATGCACCACATCAAGACACTCCCGTCTCTTCCTCCCTGCCTTCCTTGGAGTCCACCTTGCAGGCTGTTCCCTTTCTGCTTCCTTCTGAGCCTTGGGAGCTCCCCTGAGGTACTGGGCCATAAGGATGGCTGGTGAATCCCTGAGAATCTTCCTTGAGTCTCCCTTCTCAGCTGGAGTCCCTACTGAGTGGACAGTTGGCTCCGGTTGTGTGGGGGGACCCAGGAAGGGAGGCTGAAGAGTACTTCTCCACCTTCTTTTTGAGGCCCTGCCACAGCTTTGGGAATGGAGACCTCTCCTGGCGCTCTTGGCCTCTCGTAACTGGGAACTGATTCCCAGGGACACCCACCACCCCCACCACCCGGTCCGGTTCTCTTGGCCAGAGCTCCAGTACAGCCACAACTTCAGCCGTCCCTTGTGGGAGATGACAGCCGCCTCTCTCATGCTGGAGCCTCCCTCCCGCCCCGCCCCGACACACACACACATTCCACATGCCTTGGACCCCTATGGGAAAAGCTGCCAGAGGGTTCTTGTCAAGCATCAGGCCACAGCCACCCCCACCAACCTCACCAAACCCGATGTGTCTGACTTCTTCCCAGAACCCCAGGAGGCAGGAGCCGACGAGCTCGACCCTTGTAGAAACTGGGGCATCCCAGAGGGGCGTCCCCAGAGACCCGCAGCGCCCCTGGCGAACCAGGGACAGACGAGGACCCCCGGCTTCCCCGGAGGTGGGCCTCCAAGGGCACCTGCCCAAGGCCACCCAGCGCGCCGCGGCCAGGGCGGCGGAGCTGAGCTGGACCTCCCAGCCGTCGGAGGGGGCGGTGACCGCCCGGGGCCTTCCCACGGCTCGGCCTGCGCGTCACCGCGGGGGCGAGGGGGCGCCGGGGCGCCGGGGCTGCGGCGCAGGAGAGGGCCCTGGGAAAGGGCGGCGGGGCCGGGGCGGGGCCGGGGCGGGGCCGGGGCGGGGCCGGGGCGGGGCCCGACTTCCCGGCCGGGAGCCGGCACCCTCGCGCCGAGACCCAGAGCCTGTGCTCGCCATGAAGCGGCCCAGGGAGCCGAGCGGGTCTGACAGCGAGTCCGACGGACCCATCGACGTGGGCCGCGAGGGCGAGCTGAGGTGAGGGCCGGGATGGGGATACTGGGAGTGCCTGGACGGGTTCAGCGGGCCTTAGGACTATCTCTCCATATGGCCTCAGGAGACGCAGGTGTGGGCGAAGGCCCGCAGGTGTGTGTGTTGGGGGGGAGGTGCGAGTGGGGGCACGTGTGCAGCGTGGGCCATGACACGCACGAGTGTCTGGATCCTCTGCACTCTGGGCCATTTGAGGCCCAGGGTGCCGGGATGGAAGTGGAGTTCAGCTCTGGGGTTTCATGCCCAGTTGGTGATAGTCTTTCTGTAGAAGTGCCAGGTTGAAGCTATTGGAGAGGAGTTTTCCCTGAAGATCTTAGGAAACCCTCATCGTTCCACACCCCCGCTGAGTAGGCAGAATAGCCATATTTTCTGTATTCTACCCTAGCTTGGGTGCACTTTCCATGTAGTACACAAAAGGCTCACAGGGGGAAGGATCTCCTTCCCTTGAGCAAACTGGACTTTGGAATGAAGGTTTTGGTACCGAAGAAAATAATAGCTGACTTGCCAGTGCAGGGGCCTAGATTCCAATTCCAACACTCTTTCTAATGCACACCCTGCTGCCAATGCCTCTCAGCTCCTGGTAAGTATTCTGACTTGCTTCAAACCTGTGGAACGAACTCCACTGGCACCATTCCACTTTCCTCAGTTTTGTGGACAATCTAAGCTTCAGTTTCCTCATCGGTGGAATGGGTATAAATAACAGAACCGATCCCAGGTTTACCGGGAAAATCAAATAAGATGATGCATGTATGTCACGGGCTTAGCAGAGGGCTTAGCACATAGCAAATGTTTAATTCGTGTCACGCACCCAACATGTGATGCCCAGAGCCCTGAAAGAGCAGCAGGAACCGAGTGGGAGTCTGCAGACCCAAACCTGCCACCGACTCACCATGTGACCTTGGGCTGTTGCTTTCTCTTTCTGAGCCTGTTTCCTCATCAATAAAATAAAAGGAAGATATAGAGTGGGAAAGGGAGGGGGGCTATCTGATCTCTCCTGACTCATCCAAACCTGACTCTCTAGAACAATTTGAAAGGGGGATTCAGTTCATCCTTAGGGATGTTTTTGAGCGGATTTCATCATTTCAGTGACTTCAGTTTTCTGAGACCAGGAGATCCTACCTCAATCACAAATCCTAGTAAAATGTCACCAGTTTCCAAGTATTTATAGCTTATAACAGGACGTAAGGCAATAGATATCCCCCTTGAATCCTGTACATTAATTGGGTTTGGAGGTATATAATATAATTTCCTATGCTACTTATTAGCATTCTTAAACTGTTTAGCAGAAATTGCTATCTAGAGAAGCAATTCTCTGAGTCTGGGCCTGCTAGGAGCAGAGGAAGGGCCCAGCACCATGTGGTGGTAGTGGAGGGGGTTCTCAAATTCAATGTCATTGGGTCTTCATGAATCAGAGGCATGAAATTGATGCCAGAGAGCTGGCTCTGTCTTCCAAGAATTTGCATTTTGGCCGGTGACCTGCCAGGTCACACAAAGACCATGGGCAGAATGGAAAATGGAAGGAGAGACAGACTGTGGGCTGTGAGGGCACCCAAGCAGGGAGAAGTCACTTATACACAGAGGGATCACGGAGGGCTTCTTGAAGGTGGTGGCATTGGGGCAATGGCATAAAGGATCAGTGGGCAGATTTTTTCTTTACGGCATTTTGTCATTTTAGTCAGAGCCTTTTTAGTTAGAGACTGTCTAGATTCTTAAAGGAACAGACCCTCTCAGAGCTGAGAAAGCAGTTGGACATCTGGCAGAGGCTGACTTATAGACCCCTCTTTGTAGCACTCACCAAAGGGCCCTCCCCCCAGCAGACATCAATGCTTCAATTCAGGGTGTGCTGAACGATGCCTGCTGTGGCCCAGACCCTGGGCTGGGCGTGGGGGGCCCAGATGTATCCTGCTAAGCCTCTGCCCTCAGGGAACTCTCAGAGAAGAAGAGCTTCATGTACAAAGAAAGCCAGATAAACAGTGGCAAGGGCCACAAGACTGGGGCAGCCAGCCTCCCCGGGGTCAGAGGCAGGGCGCAAATCCCCCACACTTAAAGATGTGAGAATAAGAAATAGGGTGTATTCCATTGTTACTGTGGGCATCTGCCTGGTGGTGGCATCTTGTCCCATATGAGAAAATCACCCACAGATCTCCTATCTGAACCCAGCAATCCCCACCCCCCAACTCCACTGACACATGCTGGGTCCCAATGGAGAGTATAGCTTCTCGCTCCCCTCCCCCTCTGTGAACATTCAGTGAACACCTGTCATATATCAGGCACTGGGTCAGGGCCTGTGGATCTTTCTTACATGATTTAAGGCACATGGTGGCCTTTGATGTCAGACCTGAGTTTGATTCTCACCACCATTAACATGGGCATTTCTGGACTTCAGATTTTCTCCCTTACAGCACAGGGAAGCTAATACCTACCTCACAGGGGGGGCCTTTGATGAGGTAATGTTCCTAAACTGCACAGCTCCCTGATTTAGCCCAACAAACGCTGCTCTAGAAGGAGTCACCATTCAATTGGAAGGTGCCATGTTCACAAGGCAGCTTGGCCTAATGAAAAGATCAGGAGTCTGATGATTTGCTGGGCATGATTCTTTTTTTTTTTTTTTTAATTTTATTTATTTATTTGACAGACAGAGATCACAAGTAGGCAGAGAGGCAGGCAGAGGGAGAGGAGGAAGCAGGCTCCCGGCTGAGCAGAGAGCCCAGGCTGAGCAGAGAGCCCATGCGGGGCTCCATCCCAGGGCTCTGGGATCATGACCTGAGCTGAAGGCAGAGGCTTTAACCGACTGAGCCACCCAGGCACCCCGCTGGGCATGATTCTTAACTCTTTGTGTCTCTGTCACTCCATCTATCAAATGATTATTTTTCCTAATGTGAAATAGCCCCAGTAAGATTTAATTCACAGGGCCGTTGTGCAATAAAGGAGACAAGTGAATGTGGAAGTACTGTCTAGAACAAGGAGTACTGGCTATGGGACACACATGGTGGAGGAGGGGGTGGCAATACGGGGTGCACTGGGAAGAACACTGGATTAAAAGCCAGGAGACTTGGCTCCAGTTCTGGAATTTCCTCTAATTTGCTGTGTGGCCTGGAACAGACCCTTCCCCTCTCAGATTTGCAAGTGGGCTCAGTGCTCCTGAAAACCCTTCACTGGGGATATCATGATTCTGCCTTTGGTTAATGCAAAATGAGTGGAGTCATCTATCTGTAAGGGTTTGGGGGGGAGTGCCCCAGGGGGCCTGAGGGTGAGTGCTGAGGGCAGTCGGGACTAGCAGCCAGACCACCTAGAATGCTGCTCCCCCCGCAACCCCACCCCAAGAGACCTCCCCAGAAATCTGACTAGGGACCACTGAAGGTCCCTGGAGCAGATCTTGGTGGTCGGCATATCTTCTCTGGGTCCGTGAAAATCTGCCTTATTTTCAGACTGTCAGACAAGAAGCTCTCACACCTCCCCCCAGTGTCAGGGCCAGATCACAGCCTGGAAGTGAGCTCTGCTTGAGCTCTTGGGAGCTTTAAGGATAAGAGGACTGGAGGGCTATTCAGACAGACAGGAAATAGGAATTAAGAGGGAAAACAATGCTGATTTTGGAGCCAGAAGACATGGATTCCCATGCTGGCTTTGCTCTTTAGCAGCTGTGTAGGCTGGGCAAGCTGCCTTTGGTCTCCAAGCCTCAGCATCCTCATCTGTAAAATGGGGCTTTTGTTAGGCTCAAAGGAGGGAAATATACGTAGCGATGCCAAGAAAACTGTGAAGTGAGGTTTGCCTGTGAGATATGGGAGTCAGGAAAGGGGATAATACTACAGAGAACGAGTGACCAGGAGAGTGGATAAAGGGATTGCAGAGCTATTGTGTCCTACAAGGGGCGTGCCAGCCTCCGACAGATGGTCCCTGAGGAGGGATCAGGCTGAGGGGCAGTGACGTGCCCAGTGCTAACCCAACACCCCTAGGGACTCCTTATCCAGTCGGGGGGGGGCAGACAAAGGTCATGTTTTAGTATCCCTTGGCTCTTGGGACTTGTCCTGAGCATAACTTTGTAAACAAGCTGCCCTACAGATCTCAGGATCTGGCCATCTGAGCCCTGGACCTAGCTTGCTGGGCCGTTCCTCCCAGGAGCTTACCAGCCTCTCTCATCCAGATGTTTGGAAGGAGATGCCCTTTTCCAGGGCATCTAGCTGGACAAAGCCAGGGACATAGCAGGGGGATTTGATCACTGTTGATGTGGACTCTCCTGCAATCTTCTTTCTTTGAGCACTTGATGAAAATGATCTAGCCTCTTATGCCAAGAGGATAGTTACATGGGCTGGGACCCTCGTGGTGAGCCACATAGGCCCCCATTCCACAAAGGCCTGGGAGGTAGCATTTATGGTGTCACTTCTCTGCTCCCCGGTGATGCCAAAGATGGGGGCAGGAGGAGGGAGTGCAACCATGGGCTCTGCTGTGCTCCAAGCACTTGCTGGGTACGGGGGCTGCAATGGTGAATGAGACAGACATGGTTTGTGACCTCAGGGAGCCTACGCACTTGCTGGAGAGATAGACATTAATCAAATAATCATATACATAAAAAACAACAAATGGGCATCCATGCTGTGAATGCAGGATGATAGGAGAGGGTAGATCAGGAGCTACCTAATGGGAGGAGGGATGGCAAAAAAGGCTCTCCCTGGGAAGGTGGCATTTGTGTTGAGATCTGAACAGTGGTAGAAGGTACTAGGCAAAGAGGCTGAGGCTTGGGGGTGGGGAGACAGGGAGCACCAGAGAACTCTAGGCTAGGGGAACAGTATGTGCAGCCACAGGAAGGAGTAGAGCATTCAAAGGCTGCAGCACACAGAGCAAAGGAGGGTTGAGTCTAGGAGGTGACAAGAGCCAGCTGGGCCACCTGGAAGATGACAGCCTTGATCCTAAAAGCATTGGGAAGGCCCTGAGGAGTTTTAAGAGAGTGACAAAATCAGATGTGTATTTAAATGATCACTAGGCCTGTTTGTAGGGGGTCAAAGGGGTGCAAAGGGACCCAGCAATAGACTCTTGTAGCAGTCCAGGTGACAGATGACAGATTTTGTCCTCTGAGCAGGAGTGGAAATAAGTAGGACAGAGGAGAGATGTATCTCACACAGAACAGGCATTTTTGGATGAGGTGGGTGAGGACAGAAGAGGAATCAAAGGTAGTGGTGGCCAAGTGGCCTCACAGAGCTGGGAGATGGGGTGCCTTTGCTGAGATGGGGGCCCGGGGGAAGACAGGGTGGTGGTGGAGTGGAGGCAAGCTCACAGGTACATGCTCAGATGTGTGGCATTTTGCATTTGGAAATGGCAGGGGAGTCCCCTTGTCTAAAGTTATTTGTTGATAGGGCATCTCCCCCTGGGAGCTGAGTGTCTGGACAGCTGGGGCCTGGCTGACTGTGTCCAGTCTAGCCCTGGACCTGAATGGGACCTCCGGGGTGTTGGCCAAATGAATGGCCCTCTGTGCAAACCCGCGAATCCCCTGTGTTCCGGGAGAGCCTCTGAAGCAGGAAACCGTTAGCGGGGCGAGCTGTTGGGCTGGAGAAGATTTCGGTCAGTCGCGGCAGGAAAGCCGTCCCCCCCCGGGGGGGGGCGTTGCTGAACCTCTTCCCGGCAATGGGGACTCCCCGGGGTGCGAGCAAACATCCATTCTGTGCCAGGCCTGCGGAGGGGCGACCCGGCGCGATGCAGGGTTGCAGCCTTCGGGGGAGGCCGGGCAGCGTCCCGAGAGTCCGAGGGGGCCTGTGACCCAGATGTCGCCTCCCCCTCGCCCCGGCCGCGCTGCGTGGGAGGAGGCGGCAGCTGCCGGCGGGGCGGAGGGCGGGCGGCGGGCGGCGGGCGCGCCCGGCCCGTGGGAAGCGGCGGCATCTGCTCTTTCCACGCTCTTCCCAGCGGCTCCCTCTGAAACCCAACCCGCCGGCCCGGCCCCGCCGCCGCCGCCGCCGCCGCCCGTGCCCTCGCCCGCCCCGCCCGGGATCGGGTTGCAGGAGCGCGGCGGCCGGCTGCGGTTCCCCGACGCCCGCGGCGAGGGGCAGGGGGCGAGGCCGAGCGGATCGGGCCCAGAGCCCAGGGAGCGCCCCCCCCCCCCGACCTACAACCTCCCCCTCAGCCGTCGCGCGACCCTGGGGCGAAACCCAGCGCAGGGGCGACTTGGCTGGGGAGCAATGGGCCACCACCCACGCCTGCCCTGCGTCGCCTCCCAGCCTGGGAGTCTTCGGCCGCTGGGGAGACCACGACCAGCCCCGGAGGGGGCAGTGCCCGCCCACATCCCTGCCTCCTTCGAGTTCAGCCCGGGTCAGGGAGATGGTCCCCCAGCACTGAAAAATCAGTCTTTCTCTTCTTCTGCAGCCAGATGGCCAGGCCGCTGTCCACCCCCAGCCCTTCGCAGATGCAAGCCAGGAAGAAACGCAGAGGGGTGAGTGTCTGTCTGGGCAGAGTTGCCCTGAGTCCCCAGGGCCTGGCCAGGAGAACTGAGGTCAGAAACATCACCCCCGTCCAGACTGCCTAAGGGCCAACCCTGGCTCTGCCAGGAGCTAGCAGAGAGACTTTGGGCAAGCCCCCTAACCTCTCCCTGCCTCATTTCTTCAGCTGTGTAACTGAACCAGTGAGAGTGCCTACCTCACAGGGCTATTTTGAAGATTAAATGAATTAATGTAATACACTCAGGACACCTGACACGCAGTTAGGCCTTACTGTTTATTCCAGCCTCCCCCTCTCTTGTCCAAGACCAGAACTTTCATTTCCTCTCAGGGTGCTGGGTGGGGGAACAGAAGAAGGTGGCTCCCTGGCTGGCTCTCTGCCACCTCATCCCAGCCCCCACCCTCTTATGCCCCCAGGATGCAGCTGTGCTTCTGCCCTGGGCGTCCAAAGACCGGGAATGGGGCAAAGACCAGCCCTGCCACTCACTTAGGCCAACCACTTCCTTCCAGCCCTCATCTCTATCTGTAAAATGGGGGTCATAATGTCTGCCCTGCTATCAGTATTCAGCTACCAGTAGGGGGAGGAGAGAATGAGGTTGTGTGAATGAGAGGGCTTCCCAGCTGGAAGCAATGCCTGTTCATCACCCAGCAACTGAAGGGGTAAGCTTGGCCTGCCGGAGCCCTCTGGGGCCTGCTGCGGGGCTGTGGCTATGTCCCTGCTCTGATGGGTCAGTCTCCTGCTGTGCCTGTGGTTGAGCATTTTGAACATCACCCCTGCAGACCGTGACAAGAGATTGGAGTTCCACTCCCAGCTTTGCACTGCCTCGCTGTGTGACCTTAAGTCACTGCCCCTCTCTGAGCCTCAGTTTCCATCCCCCTTACGTACGAACAGATTTCCCTCCCTCACAGAAGTATTGTGAGGGAAGATATGAGTCAGTGTCCCTCAAAGCACGTTGGAAACCGGCAAAGTGCCGGTGAGTAAATTCCTGTCATTGTGTTTTAGATCATAGAGAAACGGCGCCGAGACCGCATCAACAGCAGCCTTTCTGAGTTGCGACGCTTGGTCCCCACCGCCTTTGAGAAACAGGTATGTGATATTCCTGTTGGTGCCAGAGGAAATCCCATGCAGGTGGCATGTCGTACTGATTGGCAACAGGTCCTTGACGTGCTGCTGCCTCGTTGCTGATACCTGTCCCCTGCTGGTATCAGCCAGGGAGAAAGGGGCTGGAAATTTATATTGACTCTGATGTCTCCGATGTCGGGGCTTTCTTTCCATCACCCCTTGACAGGAATCCTCAAGATGATCCTAAAGGGTAGAGATGATTATGCCTGTTGCACAGATAAGGAAACTGAGGCACAGAAAGGTGAAGTACCTTGCACTTGGTCACACAACTAGGAAGTCTCAGAACAGAACTGGGCCACTGAACTGTGTGCCTCTAGAGCCCCCTCACCCTCTGCACTGCTGATAGTTCCAGAGCTGTTTGAAAGCGGAGCAGTCTGCTTGGGGTGTGAGCCCCCTGCCACTGCCCGTGTGTGGTAGGAGGGTGGCAGTGGGAAGGGAGTCAGATGGAGAAATCAATCAGACAGTCTCAAAGGTTCTCCATCTTGTGCTCCAAGGCTCGGTCATGGGTCATGTGACTTCCTTTACGCTGGTGAGAACAAGTCGGTCTTTCCAGAGGTGTTTGCTGAAATTTTCACAGGCCCAGCCATGACCTAGACCTGGTCCCTGCCCTCAGGAGTTCACGGGGAGAGTCTGACCCTCAGGTTTCCCTTGGGAGACCAGGGGATGCTGGAGGCATAGCAAACATTGTTCAGGAGAAAGAACAGGGGAAGAGGAGGTGCTGTGGGGCTAAGAGGGTGAGCTAGATCTTGGTCATGAGGAACGTAAAGTTGGATTCCCAGGAAAGCTGGTCTAGGAGGCCAGTTGGTACATGGGAGTGGGATTCTACAGACGATGCGCCAAGCCGTGGAGCTTGACGAGACCTTCGGGGGAGAATGCGCAAGCGAGAAAAGGGAGCCAGTGCCCACTGGGGAACAGCCCCATTTTAAAGGAACAGGCAGAGCAAGGTAGAAGAAGCCAGAAAAAGTCAAGGGAAGGAGGGGTTTTGGGAAGGATGCTCGGCAGTGCAGGGGTGCACGTGGACTGAAATGGGAACAGAAGAGAATCTGTTCGTTCTATAAATCTTGGCCAAAGCAGAAGGCTGCCTGCAGGCCATGGTGGAGTGGGAGGAAGATGGGGACATGGAGCCGGTGAGGGCCGATGACACCACAGGGAGGGGAGCGAGAGGTCAGCGGGAGGCCTTCACACTTCTGTCTTCTGTGCACACAGGGCTCCTCCAAGCTGGAGAAGGCCGAGGTCCTGCAGATGACAGTGGACCACTTGAAAATGCTCCATGCCACTGGTGGGACAGGTACCCATGCTCTTCTCTCTGGGGACTCATTCATGAAACATGTATCTGGGGGGCTAGGCCCTGCAGATCCATTGGTGAGCAGAGTAGACATGGTCCCTGGCCTCAAGGAGCTCACGGTTTGTGGTGGGGCTGGAGCAGGTCCAGGGGCAGCAGTCACAAAGCCTGGCTCTCTCCTTTCATCATTGTCCTCTCTGCTGTCAGCGTCCCCATTGGTCCCCACCTTGTCCTCAACTCTGCTCCTTCCAGCCTTAGCCCTTGGAGGAGCTCATCTACACAGACTGTCCCTACAGGTTCCCCACCTTAACCCCCACCCTCCTTAAACCTTAGCCTGAATGAACTCATTCTCACTGGGATCCCAGTTGAATCCCTGGGAGGGGCTGTCTGAGATGTTTACCCACAGCTGTTTACTGGTGTGCCTTGTGGGCTAGTGCTGGGGTCCTATGTTGTCCTTAGCAGTACTGGGACCATAGGTCATGCTCACAGTTGAAGATCCGTCGTGGGATTATAGTAGAACCCAAATGTAACTCGTGCTGTTATTTTGGGCTGGTCCATTACTGTGAAGTCACGGAACTGTGGCTTTAAAAAGACTTCTGGACAAATGGAAATTCTGTCTGCCTGAAGTCTCGCTGTGTATTTTGGCGATTTCACAATTGAGAAATCTTGAAAGCTGCACAGACCTGGGCCACAAAGACCTAAGTCCTAAAACTTTAACTTGACCACCTTTGGAGGGGTCATTCACATTTCGAGTGACCCAGCCTGGTGCTTCTCCAGCTTCAGTGAGCCACAGTACCATCCGGGGGCAGACAGCCACGGGGCACACCCCAGAGATGCTGAGCCAGGAGGCCTGGCCTGGGGGTTAGGAATTTGCATGTTTAGCAAACACGTCCGATGACCCTGATGCAGGTGGTCACTTTGAGAACTTCTGCCAAAGGAATGCATGGCTAACAGCGAAAACTTCTGATTCTAATCAACCAGTCGGGGAGAGCTCTCCAACTACATTTATGGGTATCCAATTCAAAGAAAAATAGTGACTAATATTTTGGCCAGCATTTTATCATTTCAAAATGCTTTCACCAATATTATCTCATTTGATTGTCACAAGAATCTCGAGGCTAGGGGTTGTTGGCATCCCCCTTCTCTGGCCAAGGGCTAACGGAGGACAGGACTGGCTTAGAGCCCTGGCTTTGGGTTAGAATCCTGAATCGAATTGATTCAAATCCCATGAATTGTGAATTTGGCTCTATTACTTGCTAGCTTCATGACCTTTGACAGTGATTTAACTTCTCTGCGCCTCAGTGGTCTCATCTCTAGAACAGGAATGATAGGATTTTTCTGAGGATTAAATCAGATAATGGGAATTGAGTGCTTTATAAGAACTCAGAATATGTTAGCTGAAGAAGAACAGCAAATGCAGAAACTGAAGGGACTTATTCAAAATCACATAGCTAAGTATACAGCCAAGGAAGGTCTTGCCTTCAAGGAGGCCTGACTCCAAACACGGTCTCCTGCAGAGCTGCCACTCTGTGGGAGCCTCAGCCACGAACCAAGGACCAGATGTTTGCAGCCGGAGTCATGAGGCCAGTGCTCATTGAGGCTGGTCTGTCTTTGCACGGAGGATGGTTGAGAGAAGGGCAGGTAGAAAGGCAGTGAGATGGGACGCCTGGGTGGCTCAGTTGGTTGGACGACTGCTTTCAGCTCAGGTCATGATCCCGGAGTCCCGGGATCGAGTCCCACGTCGGGCTCCCAGCTCCACGGGGAGTCGGCTTCTCCCTCTGACCTTCTCGCTCATGCTCTCTCTCACTGCCTCTCTTTCAAATAAATAAATAAAGTCTTTAAAAAAAAAAAAAAAAAAGGAAAGAAAGGCAGTGAGGACTGAATACCTCTATGGCCAGGCCACCTGGTCAGACCTCACTGAAACCAGTCAGACTGAGTGAGGATCCCAGCCTGGTGGTGGCGACCACTGAGGACCAGAGTCAGGTCCTGCTTTCCTGACCACCCTGCAGGCGAGGGCACAAACTCACATGCCTCCAAGGGCCAGGCCAGTCATACGCAGTTGAGCCCTGAACACAGGTTTGAATAGTGCAGGTCTACTTACATGCAGAGTTTTTACACTAAGTGGAAACATTTTGGGAGATTTGCAACCGTTTGGGGAAAAAAAAATGGCACACATACCACATAGGCTCGAAATATTGAAAAAATTAAGAGAAAGTTAGGTGTGTCATGAATGCATAAAGTAAACAAAGATACAAGTCTGTTTTATCACTTACTACCATAATATATACACACATTTATTACTGAAGTTAAAATTTAGCGGAACTTCCTCATACAAACCCTTTCAGACCATACACAGTGCCATTTGCAGCACAGAGAGATGTAGACGTAAAGATGCGGTGGAAATGTAAATGTATCGAGTTAACTGTGGTATGTACATACTATACTCCAGGAATAATTTCCTAGCTGCCTCCTGTTACTCTTGCAATGAATTCACGTGTTGCTAAGTATCTGCTTAAGACCTCACGTGGCACTAATCATCATGCCTGAGCTGTCCGTCTCTCCAGACTGCTATCATAGTAAAAAGTGATCTCTGGTGGTTCTCATTACTAGTAGTTTTGTGGGGAGTCAAAAGTTTACTCAGGTGTTCAACTGTGCTGGGGGAGGATCGATGTCCCTAACCCCTGTGTTGTTTGAGGGTCAAGTGTAAATGAGGGCTAACTTCGAAGTCAGGGATGATTTCTGTCCACCGTTGCATTTAATTCCACCTGCACGACCCTGTGCGGCAAGTATTACTTTATGTCCATTTTACAGCCAAGGAAACTGAGGCTTAGAGAGATTAAGAGATGCATCCACGGTCAAGCCACTAGTTAAGTGGCAGAGCTGGTATTTGAACTCAGCTCTTCTGGCCTCCAGAGACCTCAGGTAAAGGTATGACACTATACTGCCTTCTCTGAGGAGTCCCCCACTGACCTGCCCTGAAGGCTGCGGCCGCCATCTCCCATGCGCGCAGGCCTTTCACACCTGGCAAGTATTCACTTAAATGACATTATCCTGGTCACCATGTTTCTTCTCTGCGTTCATCATAGATGTCGATGAAAATGGTACTCCATGATTTATCATGCTTCCTAGTTCAGTGACCTTATTGGATCCTCACAGTGCATCCCCTCTACCCCACATAGGGGTGATTATTCCCACTTTACCGAGGAGGAGACGGGGTCTCAAAGGAGTGAGGTGGCAGGCGCAAGGTCACACAGGCCTGACCCCAGGATCTGCACTTGGCCCTTGCCTGGCCCACACCCTCACCACACCTCACTTTGCAGGATTCTTTGATGCCCGAGCCTTGGCAGTGGACTTCCGCAGCATCGGTTTTCGGGAGTGCCTCACCGAGGTCATCAGGTACCTGGGGGTCCTGGAAGGGCCAAGCAGCCGTGCAGACCCCGTCCGGATTCGTCTTCTCTCGCACCTCAACAGCTATGCAGCCGAGATGGAGCCTTCTCCCACGCCCGCTGGCCCCCTGGCCTTCCCTGCCTGGCCCTGGTCCTTCTTCCATAGTTGTCCAGGGCTGTCAGCCCCGAGCAACCAGCTCACTATCCTGGGAAGAGTGCCCGGTCCCATCCTGCCCAGCGCCCCCTCTCTCACTTACCCCCTCCAGGCCCTCCGAACCGCTCCTGTGCGGAGAGCCACTGGCACCATCCTGCCAGCCCGCAGGAATTTGCTGCCCAGTCGAGGGGCATCTTCCATGCGGAGGGCCCGTCCCTTGGAGAGACCAGCTGCCCCCCTGCCTGTAGCCCCCGGCATCAGGGCTGCCAGGAGCAGCCACACAACACCCCTCCTACGATCTTCTTCCCCTGTACCTCCTGGCATTGTGGGGTCCCCTGCTTATGTGGCTGTTCCTGCCCCCAGGCCCTCTTCCCCAGGGGCAGCTGGGAGGCCAGCAGGAGCTGGGCCCTGCCACTCCTGGGTCTCTGAAATCACTGAAATCGGGGCTTTCTGAGCTGGCTTCTCCCCAGGAGCGAGGAGGGTTCTTTTTCCAGGAGCTCTAAAAACAGTGCTGTCTTCTGCCCTGCTTCCTGACCTGGCTCCTGTCTGTGATGGCATTTCCCTCACCCATCAGAAGCCCCTTCCTCCTTTGGCCCACCTCCCCTCCTCACTGCCCATACCAGCTTGTCGACCCAGCTCTCCTGGAGCTGTTCTGATCTTAGAGGCCTGGTCTCATTTCTTACCTGGGACAAATAAGTCCTGGGAGGGCCCCGACAAGCTTTGCCCAGACCCTTTCCTGCCCTGGCACACAGAGAGCAGCAGGCACGAATCTAAGGTCTGGGAACAAAGCTTGACCCTAAAAGGCACAACAGCCTCAGGCCGGCTGCTTGTCTAGAGAGTTCAGAATCCAGCTTGTGCAGTGACTGGTTCAGCCTTCCCAGGCCCCCAGGGCCAGGACATAGTGTCTGCCTCACTTCCGGAGACAGTAACAGAGCAGGGGCCACAAAGTGGTCTCTGGGAACCCCCGTCTGCCCCTGTCCACCCCACCGCAGTGGGCCACAGGACAGGAACCCCCATCCACCGCAGCCAAAGCCTGGGGGTTAGGGGCCCAGCATGGCCTGCTCGGGTGTTCTGCCCCACTGCAGACCCCTCCCCTCCGGCTAAGCCACAGTTCCCTGCATAGAGACTGGGAGGTTTCTGGGCAGCAGTAAGACTCCAAAACAGGGGGTCCTTACCAGCAGGCCTAGGACAGCACTCCCAGACAAGAGCCGGGTTTGAGCGGAGAACACAGCTCCCTGCCTCTCACTCCGTCACCATCCTCCAGATGCTTGGTCCCTGTTGGGTGCACAGTGTGGAGGGTCACGTTCCCATGTGATGGCGCCCCAGGAGGAGCCCTCTTGGGATTCAGCACCAGACATTTGTGCTGCCTGGTTTGCATCCGGCTCACAGAGCCCAGACTGTGGGACAGCCAAGGGCTGTCAGGCTGGACAAAAATAACTGCAAGGAGGGACGAGAGGAAGGACAGTCAGAGGCAGTTCGGCCCTTCAAGGTCACACGGTGGGTCAAGGGCCTGAGATCCTGTTCACCCAGGATACCATGCAGCTGGCTCTGCTCAGAGGCCGTTTCATGACCCAGCTCCAGCCCTGGCCACTTGTCCTCTAGCAGAGGGAGCAAATGGCCTGGCCCCCATTCCCAGTGGAACAGCAGAGATCAGACAAGATCGGGGCAGACCCCGGAATAACGTTCAGCTGGACCCGTGTTGCCGGACCTGTTGTTGAAATGTATAGCCACGTCTGTGCTTGCTGGCAGATATCTGCTTCCCTTGAGGGCTCCCAAATGCCCTCCTGCCCCGTGTGGCTTTCCCCCAGGACCCTGCGCTGATCAATGCCAGGCTGACCAGAGGCTACAGCGTCCTCTGGCCGGCAATTCCTTGGTGCTTATTTGCGCTGGTTGGTAAATACTTCTTTCGAATGTCACCCCTGGGAAGATTCTTTCACTCCCGCCCTTTGATGGGACTACCCTCCCCAGAGACTAAATTGAGGAGATCCTTGGGCTCAGACATAGAATTTGCTAAAACCCCGGTGAAAGGGCCCTTTTGGAGAAATGGGACAGAGGGCAGAGGTCATTTAAATGACCCAGAAATCTCTTTGGAAAACGCGAATTCCTCCAAGAGGCATGAAGAGCTAACATATTCCGTGTTCATTCAGATTTCTGTGCTTCTGGATGCGTCTGAGACGTGCAGCCTCAGGGAGCGAGGGCAGAATCTCAGGGAGTGGGTCACCAGCCAGGAGGGCTCCTAAGGGAGACAGGGAGGGCAGGGCAAGTCAGCAGGCTCCCAGGAGTTGGGAGAGGGGGGCAGGGGGACTCAAGAAGCAGAAGGCAGAGCCCCACTTCACCTTTGTCACAGAGGGTGGGAAGAACGGCTGCTGTTCCTAATCTTTCTCCATCCCCCCACCCCCACCCCGGGGCTCTCCCTGCTCCCAGGATACCAGGTCTGGGCTCCAGCCCCGCAGTTTTGGCAACTTCATAACCTGAGAAGATGGGAAACCCATTCCCACATTTCCAGGACCCAATTGCAGAAGAATCTGTTGACACCATTGAATGAGTTGGAAACGGCCCAGAACTTTCAGCATCTGAGTTGATCTTGGGTTCATTTTCCCCAAGAGATGGCGGGTGGGAAAGGTGACTATGTATTCGTTTTTGTGGTTGAGGACTTGTATCTTCTGTTTCTATTCCCAAGCCTTTCTGGCGTCCCCGACTCCTACCCCCTTGCTGGGGCTGTAGCAGGCATCCAATAAAGTTGTTTCAGTTCTTCTAAAAACCTCTGAAAGATTCTACTTCTTGAGATCTCTGGAGTCCATCCACTTCTCTCTGAGCCCACAGCTATCTGCCTGATCTGGCCACTTCACCTGCCCGCAGATCACTACCCTCCACAAGGTCACCTTACTTCCCTTTTGCTTTGTCACTCAGTTCTCAAGGCAACCAGAGAGAGCTTTAAACATGTAAATCATATCATACCAACCCTGGCGTAAAACCCAAGGTAAAGTCCAAGCTCTTCACATCCCACCGGTCACTTCCAGCCAATTCTAATCTCGTTCGCTGTGCTTCTGCCACCCTGGCTTTCTGTCATTTCCTAGACATTCCGGCCTGTCGCCATCTCCAGGACTTGGCATACACGGTTCCCTTGCCCCGAATGCCCTTCCCCTACCTTTTGCATGGCTGAGCTCTTTATTTTTATTTTTTATTTTTTTTAAAGATTTTATTTATTTATTTGTCAGAGAGAGAGAGAGGGAGAGAGAGCTAGCACAGGCAGACAGAATGGTAGGCAGAGGCAGAGGGAGAAGCAGGCTCCCTGATGAGCAAGGAGCCCGATGTGGGACTCGATCCCAGGACGCTGGGATCATGACCTGAGCCGAAGGCAGCCGCTTAACCAACTGAGCCACCCAGGCGTCCCTGGCTGAGCTCTTTATACCCTTGGCTTAAACTCACCTCTCAGAGAAGCCTTCCTTGACTACTGTGCTTGAATAGTTGGCGCATCTATCTCAAAGTCCCCTATTCTTTCTGTCCCTGAGGCACTTGCCATTGTGCATCCGCACATCCGTGTGTGTTTACTTCTTGGTTGACCATGTCCCCCACCAGCACATAAGCTCCGTGAGGCCACATGAGGCTTGCTCCCCACCCTGGATCCATTGCCAAGCACTGTACCTGGCTCTAAGTTGGTGTTCAACAAATATTTGTTGAATAAATGAACTGGGGAGGTGAGGAATCTTCCAGACTCAAGCTGCTGGATGACACAAGGCCTCGAGGGGAGGACCCCCGACTGGCCGACTTTGCGGGGAGGCTGGAGAGCAGAGCAAGAGGCAGGGCCAAGGGACTGGAAGTTCTGGCAAATGGTGAGGAGGCTCTGGCCAAAGAAAAGTGTGCGTGCGCTCGCGCTGGAGCGCACACTGTCAGCTGAGCACAGGCACACGGCCCTCCAGCACATGTTGTTCTCCACTCTTGCCCTGATGGATCTGGCTTGCGATCAATCCGACAAACATTTGCAGAGGTCTGCTCCGTGCCAGGCCAGGTCGGGGAGAGCCAGGGGTGATGAGCATACCGGTACCCCGAGGCCTGGGACCTCTGTCTGGCGACAGTGTGCTGAGGTGAGAAAGGAGCCGGGCTTCTTGAGATGGCTCAGGGGACCCAGAGGGGATGTCTGCCTCTGCCCGTGGTGGCCACGGGGGCGGGGACAGCTGGGAGAAAGTCTTCCTGAAGGTATACCAGAGGAGGCATTCTACCCGCACAGGGAACCTCTGTGCAAAGACCTGGAGACATCACGGGCTGCCCTGCGAGTTGATTCTAAGTTGAGCATGGGTCTTTGGTGACAAATGAAAGGCAGGCTAGCCAGGGCACTGAAACCAGACTTCCTGGGTTCAGCCTTCACCTCTGTCACGTGCCAGGGTTGTGTGGTCTTGGGCAAGTTACTTAACACCCCTAAACTTCAATTTCCTCATCAATAAAATAGGGATGAGGCAGTAATGGCTATAAGCTGAGTGGTAACTACGTACCAGGCACTGTTGGTAATGCTTTTCTTGGAATGTTCCCATTTTACAGATGAGACAACTAAACCAAGACACTGTCTCCTGAAGTTAGGGGAGATCAAATGGGGTAGCACACAGAAAGCCCTCAGCCCAGGGCTTGGGTCATATGAAACACGGAGTCAATCTTAACCATTGGTGTCGTTAATGGAAAGAGACTGGATCCAAATTGGGGGAAACCTTGGGCGCCATGCAGAGTTTGGACTTTAGCTTCTGGGCAATGGAAGCCATGGAAGGTTTTTCCAGGTGAATGCCAAGGTCGGACCCATGTAAGAAAGTCTTGCTTGGGGTAGTAACTGGGAGAAGGATTTTCCAGACTCAAGTCTACCTATTCATTGGAAACACTTAGGTGTTTTCAAAAACATCAGTGCCCAGGCCCCAGAGATGACGATTTAACCTGTGTGCAACAGCCCAGACATCCCGTAAGGAGGTGTGAAGGAGAGTTGGAATTTCTTTCCCAACATAAATTTCCTAGTCAACATAAATTTCCATTCAGTAGGTGAATTGGACTCTAGTTTGTGAGCCCAAAAAGAACTGATACTTTCTGGGAAGCAAAGCAGAAATTAATTTCCAGAAGGATGTCTCCATCCCTCAAGCCCCTCCTAGTCCCTGGCCCATGGTAGATGTCTAAGAAACATTTTGTGTTGAAAGCTTTGGGGATTTGTAATTCATTCAAGGGTCATTGAGTATTTTTTGACTTTGTGGAAAACTCAAGATATTAGCTTCCTTCCCTTTCTCCTGGGGAAAAGTGTAGGAAAAATCAGGCCTGGGTATCAGCTGATTCTATTAATAACAGTAAACATTGCGAGCCCTTGACTTACATTATCTCATTATAATCTTCCCTATAGCCCTGGGAGCAAGAACATTATTATCCCCCATTTTACCAAAAAGGAAATTGACACAATTTTTTAGGGAAAGCACCCAAAATTTACAATACTAATCAATGTTCTAATCAAAATGAAAATGAAGATCTGTCTGATTCAGTCTAAATCGGTACAGAACACTGTTTCCTACCCAAGCTGCCTCCTGTTATAAAGTGGAAGACATTCAGTGGTAGGCTTTAAGGACTGGTGGGCTGGACTATTATGTTAGCCTGGGAAGCCTTCATCCCACCATGCTTTTTTCCTCTGTGCTAGTGAAAGTAAGGCTTGGCTGCTGTAACAAAGAGGCAGAGCAATAAATAACTCAGTGGATGAAAGGAAACAGAAGCTTATTTATTTCTTATGTAACTGCCTGGTGAGTATTCCAAGTCAGCCAGAAGCTCTGCTCAATGCAGGCATTCTAGAACCCAGATTCTTTCCATCTTGATTCCTCACCATCCCTTAGGGCATTGTGCCTTCCTGGTAGAAGTGAGGTCTCCATGGGTTCAAGCCAGCAAGAAGGGAACAAGAGCCTGGTATAGGCATGACCAGTCTTAAAGTCTAGACCCAGGAGTGGCATGTCTATGTCCATCCACTTCTTTTGGTGAGAACTTTGATTGTTGGCCACATGATACTGCAAAGGAGGCTGGGAAATGCATTTTAGTCCTGTTCTCTGCAATAGGTGTGAATGGATGTTAACAGATTGTCTCTATCGCTTGGCCCTTACCGCCGAGGGCCATTGGAAGCTACTGACTCCCGTGTGTGTGTGTGTGTGTGTGTGTGTGTGTGTGTGTGTGTGTGTACATGCGCACGTACATCCACACATGCATGATCTGGAGGTTAATTTGCTTTGAGTTTAAGGAACCAAGTATAGACACTCTCTCTACCATCCTCTGATTCCACAAGGGTACGTTAAATACCCTCAAATGGAATTGTGTCTGCACTGGGCCCAGCGCTCCAGAGAACTCCCCCAGAAAACACACTGTAAGAGTAAGAGGACTTGTTGCCAGTGGGCCTCACCCACAGGTGAACAGCCTCCCCTGGAGGGACTGTGTGCCACATGGGGCCTTGAGGGCCTCCTTCCAGCATCCGGGCTCCCCACTGGGTTGGAGGCCCTGTGATGTTCATACCTTTCCAGACCCAGACTGGCTGTCCTGTTTGTTTCTCTTCCAGCTGCCAGGCACACAGCCTACCTGGAGCTCTGGTGAAAGGCCGGGCCTCACGGAGCCATGGGTTCTGTTTGTGGAAGTTGAGTCTCTCATGAGTCTCTTCTGAGATGGCCCTCATTGATTACTTGACAGTGGTGGGTGAAGAGGGGCCCGGCATTGGGTCTCCAAAGACTCCAGCTCTCAGGACTTTTCTTTTTTTTTTTTAACTTCATGTCAGAGTCATTCAGCCCATGAATCTCAGAAAGCCGACTGGTCAACCTCAGGGGCCAACCTTGAGCCCAAGGGCCATTTTAAAGTCAGGGTTGGCTCAGAGCTTTGGGCAAAATCTGGGCTGCCCTGTTCTGCTCAAGGAAGTCCAATGTGTCACACCCCAGCCCAGGCACCCAGATGCTCTGTTAGAGCCTCAGTAAAATAATGAACAACTCCAGCAACCCTAAAAGGAATCAGTCAATGAGAAGGAATGGTAAGAATGCTCCATAAAGCATAGCATGTTACACTTCAAGAGCCTTTAAGGGCTTTACTTCACTCATGCCCCTTGACAATTTGGTCAAGGGACCCAGGGCAGGAATTATTATTTCTGTAATGCAGATGAGAAACCCAGTCATATTTCAGGCACAGTAATTAGCCCCAAGATCAGAAAAACAGCAAGTGGCAGAACTTGTTTGGAAACTAGTAGAGAGTCATGGTTCATAAGCAGGCACACAGAAGTCCCAGAACATTATCCAACCATCACTGAGCACTTGCCCTATTCAAGCTCGGTACCAGGTACTTTACCTGGTACCTGTACCTCGGTACCAGGTATATGTGAGGTCTGAGTTTGTCTGCACAAGGTCACAGTTTAGTTTTTGTTTCTATTATTATCTCCATTTTACAGGTGAAGAAATGGAAGCTCAGAGAGATTAAGTGACTTACCTGATGTAACACAGCTGTTGGGGGGCAGAGCACTTAACTGCCAAGTTCTACAGCCTACTTAAGTGCTCCATCTTCTGTGCTCACCCCTTCCACATTTCGGGGTGGGAGGGGTTCCCAGACCTCCACAAGGACTCCTGGCTTACACCTCAAGGCTTTGGCCTCACACCCATCAGTATCAACTCAGGACATAGAAACCAGCTCCGTCTGCCTTCTTAACACAGAGGGAGTGTTGACTATGCACCAGGCACTGATCTAGGTGCTGGGATACAGCAGTAAATAAAACAAAGCCCCCGATTCATG